TTGAAAGAAACCAATCTTAGTTTGGCAAATACAGTACTTTCTTATACTTGTATGCATTTTCAAGAAAACAAGTACAGGCTTAACTTACAACCACAACGGAGCCCAAAATTTCTGTTAAGTGAGTTTTGCCCCATTTTATGACCTTGTTGCTTATCACAGCTAATTATTTTGTAAAAGCATTATAAGGTTTCTGTTCCTTTTGGATTCTGTTTGATTTGTTGGAAAAGGGCGAGGTTCAGGGTATGTATGTTTGAACAATATAACGAGGATTACTTAAATTTGATAAATGTGATAGAGATCAATAATATTGTTATGATGAATTGGATCAATATGAATGATACCCCAAACCAACTCTGTTCACACACAATATGGGTGTATATTTAAGAAAAATAATAATAAAAAAATATGTATTTTTAAAAAAGAAGCTAGGATGCACGATATTTCTACTTGGTTTGTTGCCTCTCAGATGGGCCTTCCTTCAAAGTTGCAGTCCATTCTCCAAATACACTTGGAGATTACAAGGTCTGAGAAATCTGGCATAAATTTATGGGTGGGAGGAGATGCATGACTATACAGTTTAGTCAGTAAACCACAATTTACAGTTCCTTCTAATCTTTTGAAACCTCAAAGAAAATTAGCACTCTATGAACAGCAGAATCCACAACTTTCCATTCTTTCGACCTAGACTGCCTCAAGGGTTGTTGGGAAATTAAAAGAAAACATGAGATCAATTTTGCCGTTCCAGGATATTTTAAGTCGAGGAAAAAACATGTTATTACTGGCCAGAAGTTGAGCAGGCTGAATAACAGTGAAAAGAAGCCGACCCTGATTTATTTTACTGCAGTTTCTTATTTTGAAGTTATTGCTTATGGTCATTTAAAAAAAAAATTATATACAGTTATAGCAAACACTCTCAAACTGGAGAAGTTTTCATTTTTTTATTCCAGATTTTTTTTTTTAACTGAGAAAAACCATCTTTTGACAAGTCATGGCTCAAAATATCTTTAGACTTTGCTGAGCAATAAATGATGGTTTAAGAACTATACAGTATTATGGACTTTTCCAAACGATTGTTTATTTTCTGTATTGGATTGTTGGTCTTGTTTCTTTAATTATAAGTCACAACTTCCGATTTGGCAGCCTTATAAATCTAACAAACTATTTTGTTCTCATTTAAAATCCTACGGATTACTTTTGAAACGCAACTACTGAAATAACCAAAACTCAAGGAATTACTAATGTCTATTTAAGTATCTTTGTGAAAATGGTTAGGCCTTCAGAAAACACCCTTAGCGGATAGTATACTATATGCTCAAACTTGGAAATTAGATAGTACACCCACAGATGACCCAGGGGTGGGATTCTACTAGTTCGTACCTATTCTCTAGAACCAGTTGTTAATATTCTAAGCAGTTCGGAGAACCGGTTGTTAGAAGAAATTCCTGGCCTAAACCTGTAAGAAAGGCAGGAAGGAAACATTCTGGTGTTGCTTACAGAAACTGCCTCTCTGTTAACCCTTATCACATTCTTGGCAGGACTAGACTTCCTGTCTCAGGAACTTCTCTGGAGCTTTTTTTCCTCCTTTGCTGGTACTTTGCTTGTATGGAGTGACCATTCAAAGTTACAATGGCACTGAAAAAAGGGACTTATGACCATTTTCATACTTATGACTGTTGCAGCATCCCCACAGACATTAGAGGCCAGGCGAGGAGATGCGTGCTTTGATATGAGTGATGTTGAGTTGGCCACATCCAGCCAGTCACATGCCCACCAAGCCATGCCCACCAACTAAGCCACACCCACAGAACCAGTTGTTAAAAAATTTGAATCCCATCCCTGAGATGACCTGATTATAAAAAAAAGTAATGGATTGTGCAGAAATGAACAAATTCACAATGGAATTGCAGGAGGGGATAAAGAATTCTATATGGCTTGGGAAAAGTGGTAAGTCTGCTTAGAAATTAGAAAGAAAATATAATGCAAAAGTAGAAGCTTTAAAAGTGTAATTGTAAATAATATGTATGTATATGTATAGGAGAATGGTATAACTGATGTCACAAATAACTGCAAATAATATATATCTATATATCTATATCTATATAGAATTTGTTTTTTTAAAGGGGAAAATTTAATAAACTTTATTTAAAAAAGAAGATGATACCCTTTCCCCCAAAAACCCACTGAAACAGCTAAACAACTGTTAGATAAAATTGCCCTAAATATGATGGAGCTCTTCGAAGTCTAACCAAAACCAGCATCTTGGTTTTTGGGTGACTCAGGTCAGGTAGGCAATTGTTAAGCCTATGAGATAAGACTATCTGCCCAAGTAAGAATTTAAATTAGGTTTTGGTATGTCTTGGTACCTAGTAATTTCAGCATCATTAACCGCCCAACTTCTAATTAAGGCGTACTTCTAATCAGAGCCTCCTACTAGATTAACATAACTTTTGAGTTCCTTGCTCAAGAAGAGGTATCTGCTTCTAGCAGATATTAAAGGAGA